ACAGACCCATTCTCTCACATGTGGGCCTACCAGCTTTTTTCTCCTTGATTTGAAGCTGCTAGAATTTATGAGTACATATATGTACGTCAAACACTGTACCTCGTAGGACGTATATATATGGCCGCGACAGTCAAAGGGTTAAGAAGCAAGGAGAGGCAAAAACTTGACCTTTGCAATCACAAATACATTGCTGAATACAAATACCTAAGAGAATGCAAATACACATACACCTACCATCCGACTTACGACCTGCTCGACTTACGACCACTCGACTTACGACCGTGTTTTTTATGCTAAATTTCTGGGAAATAAACAACTATTTGTGTTGTACACAGTGTTTATCCTAAACCTTACAGTATAAAATACAGTACTAACAACATAAAAAGTAAAGTAAAACATGAAATACCAAAATAAAACAATAAAATAAAGTCATTACAAAAATGTTTTGTTGATATTCAGTAGTAAAGTTCGACTTACGACCATTTCGACTTATGACCGGTTTCTCGGAACCAAACTCAGTCGTAAGTCGGATGGTAGGTGTACATATAATGTATATACAGAGATGGTTTAAAAAAAGATATGTGGGCAAACAAATACATACTTGCATATATATGTAGTACATGTATGCATACATACATGTGGTACAGTCAAACCTCGGCTTTCGTGTGCCCTAGTTTTCACACGATTCGGTATTCGACTTTTTTCATCAAAAATTTGTCCCGGTTTTCGTACATCCGCTTGGTTTTCATACAGTTGAAAATGGTCTGTACCAAACTCGTTCGCCTGCCCACATGATTTGGCCACTCCTTTCCCGGAATTGAGCGCCCACACAAAGCATCCCACGCGTTCGTGACTCAGTCTGCCTTTGTTCCTCGTTGAGTGAGCATCACCCCGCGCGTTCATCCAAAACATTTCGTAATAATCCAGTGTTTTTTGTACAACTGCTAAATAAGCTCCCAGGGTACCAAGGAAAGTTCCGAGTGCCAGCCCTTTGATAAAGAAGGCAAAAAACACGATAGAATTTATGAAAGAACTTGTAGCAAAGTACAAAAGTGGCATACGCATGGCTGATCTCGCCAGGATGTGCGAGAAGTCCGCATCAATGATCGGTTCCATCCTGGCGAAGAAAAAAGAAATTAAGGAAGCTGATGTTTACACAAATAACCCGCACATAAAAGAGAGAAGCTTATTTGTGTATCATTCCAGTCACAGTATTGTGCCTTTTTTTGTTATTTTATGTTAAGCTGATGTTGCAAAACGGGGTAAATGTGCTAACAAAACAGAGATCGCAAACAATCAAAGATGCTGAGAAGTTGTTCTTGGTGTGCATCAACGAAAAACTGTTAGCGGGAGATAGTGTTTTGGAGGCGATAATTTGCAAAAAGACAAGGCAGTTGCATGCAAATCTCGCTAAGAAAATGCCCGGAATGAGTGCTGCTGTTTGTGAATTTAAAGCCAGCAGAGGCTGGTTAGACAAATTCAAGAAGCAAACTGGTATACACAGTATGGTAAGGCATGGTGAGGCTGCAAGTTCAGACAAATATGGGGCCGAAGAATTCGCTGGTGAATTCAAGGAGTACATAGAGGCTGAAGGATTTCTATGAAGATAGACTTAAAGCCTTAAATCTCCACTCTCTGGAGAGGCGTAGAATGAGGGGAGATATCATTGAAGTGTATAAGTGGATGACGGGCATAAACAAGGGAGACATTAATAAAGTACTGAGGGTGTCGAACCAGGTAAGAACCAGGAATAATGGATTTAAGTTGGATAAATTTAGATTTAGAAAGGACATAGGTAAGTACTGGTTTTCTAACAGAGTTGTAGATGCGTGGAACAGTCTTCCCAGTGGGGTGATAGAGGCTAGGACCTTGGGTAGCTTTAAGAAGAGACTGGACAAATATATGAGTGGGAGGGGCTGGGTTTGATTGGTTTTAAGGGGTACGGGAGTTATTTCTTGAGTAGCTTTAGGTAGATGTCGTTTTGATAAGGACCTGCCTCGTATGGGCCAGTAGGCCTTCTGCAGTGTTCCTACATTCTTATGTTTTTATGTTTAAGTCTTCACTTGTGACAAAAAAGGCCTCTTTTGGAAGAAATGCCAAAGAGGACCTATATCACGTGGGAGGAAAAGGCACTGCCAGGACACAAGCCTATGAAGGATAGACTAACTCTTTTGTTCTGTGGTAACACTAGTGGGGATTTCAAAGTGAAGTCTTAACTGATGCATCACTCTGAAAATCCCCGGGTGTTCAAGAAAAACAATGGCATCAAGAGTAAATTGTGTGTTATGTGGAAGGTTAACAATAAGGCATGGGTCACAAGGCAAATTTTCATTGAGTGGGTCAATGAAGTGTTTGGCCCAAGTGTGAAGAAATACCTCCTGAAAAATCAATTCCCACTCAAGTGCCTCCTGGTAATGGACAATGCTCCTGCTCATCCTCTAGGCTTGGAAGACCAATTGTTGGAGGAGTTTAGTTTCATTACAGTGAAGTTCTTGCTCCCTAATACCACTCCTCTCATCCAGCCCATGGACCAGCAGGTCATTACTTCAAAAAACTCTACACCAAAGCACTGTTTCAAAGGGGCTTTGAAGTGACCTCGGACACTGAACTGACCCCAAGAGAGTTCTGGAGGAATCACTTCAATATCCTCAATTGTATAAGCCTTATAGATAAGGCTTGGCAGGGAGTGACTTCCAGGATGATGACCTCTGCTTTGAGAAATTTGTGGCCAGAATGTGTCCTCGAGAAGGATTTTGAAGGGTTTGAGGCTGACCCTGATGACCCTACGCCTGTAGTGGAATCTATTGTCTCTTTGGGGAAGTCCATGGGGTTGGATGTGTGTGGCCAGGATGTGGAAGAGTTGGTGGACAACCATAGGGAAGAACTAACCACTGAAGAGCTACAACACCCAACACCTTCAAATGGGACAGCAACAGACTGCAGCTGAGGAAACTGCTTCAGAGGAAGAGGAAGAAGAGAGATGGGAGAATGTGTCTGCTTCAGTGATTAACCCTTAGAGGGTTTTGGCCGTACTAGTATGGCTTACGACCCAGGGTTTTTGACTTACTAGTACGCCTAAATTCTAGCGCCCTTAAATCTAGTGGGAGAAAGCTGGTAGGCCTACATATGAAAGAATGGGTCTATGTGGTCAGTGTGCACAGTATAAAAAAAATCCTGCAGCACACAGTGCATAATGAGAAAAAAAAAAAACTTTGACCGTTTTTTGGGAATAAAACAGCGACTTTGCACTGTATTTTCATATGGTGTTTATTGTTGTATTCTAGTTTTCTTGGTCTCATTTTATAGAATGGAAGACATATTACAGAAATTGAGATGATTTTGACTGGTTTTACAATGAAAAGTACCTTGAAATTGAGCTCAAAGTAGCAGAAATGTCCGATTTTTACCAAAGTTCAAAAGTAAACAAATCATGCCAAGCGTCCAATACACGTCAACTGGCGAGTCTAATATTCTTTCACAAGTGCGCCAGTATTATTTATACCATTTTTTACACTAATGCAGTAGTCTGCATAACAGTAAATCTTCTACTTTTTGTGAGAATAAAAATTCAAAGTGAAAAGCAAAAGAATATAATGAACAGAGGAAATGTCATTTTAGTACCAGGAATGTCTTTCTTGTTTATTCTGGACCCTATTCGGAAATTGGCATCTTTTGAAATTTGTGTGAAATTGGCAAAATTGCTAAATTCTGACCACTGTACTGCATAGTTGAAATTGATAATTGGGTGGTTTCTTGCACTCATTCGATAGAAAAAATGGAGTTCTAGCGAAATATCCATGTTTTTTGTCGACTAGTACAGTGGAATTGGCCAAAAATGGGACTCAAATTGGGCAAAATCGCCGATGCGTAAACAACGCCGAGACCGCTAACTTCGCGAGAGCATAATTCCGTAAGCTTTCCATCAAATTTCAAACTTTTGGTGCCATTATGATCGGGAAAAGATTCTCTATCTTTTCATAAGAGAATTTTTTTTTTTTAATTTGGCCGACCCTGAGAACGAGTCTCGGAGAGGGTCTGTCGACCCTCAAAGAGTTAAGGACGTGTGCAAAGTGGAATGAGTTGCAAAGTTTTGTGGAGAAATATCACCCTAACAAAGCTGCTGCAAGCCATGTCTACAACATATTCAATGACAATGCCTTGTCCCATATTAGGCAAATCTTAAAGAGACACCAGAAACAGACCTCTCTGGACAGATTTTTTGTGCGATGAGTCCAGTGACTCCTAAGTAGTAGGTTGGTAGACAGCAACTGCCCAGGGAGGTACTACCATCCTGCCAAGTGAGTGTAAAACGGAAGCCTGTAATTGTTTTACACGATGGTAGGATTGCTGGTGTCTTTTTTTTTCTGTCTCATACACATGCAAGATTTCAGGTACATCTTGCTACTTCTACTTACACTTAGGTCACACTACACATACATGTACTGTATAGGTATATATATACACACCTCTCTGGGTTTTCTTCTATTTTTCTTTCCAGTTCTTGTTCTTGTTTATTTCCTCTTGCCTCCATGGGGAAGTGGAACAGAATTCTTCCTCCGTAAGCCATGTAAGAGGTGCCTAAAATGCCAGGAGCAAGGGGGCTAGTAACCCCTTTTCCTGTATATGTCACTAAATGTAAAAGGAGAAACTTTTGTTTTTCCTTTGGGGCAAAGGAAAAACGTTGCAACAGGATTTACATTACTTCTTATGGGAAATATTGCTTCAGTTTTCATACGATTCGGTTTTCGTCAGACTTTTTCTAATGGATTAGCCACGAAAACTGAGGTTCCACTGTATATACAAACCAAACAAACAAACAAGATTTTTATAACAACATATATTTGCATGCAGTACTCTAATTTAATCATTATTAAAAGTTTGTCAAAGCAATTACTTTCAGTACAATATTTATTACCCTAGTACATATAATTAAGTTTATAGAGTGCTATCTCTACAATTCTTAACAATTTCAAATATATAATGAACATAGATCTCCATACCTCAGAATATTGTTGCTCAATAGGTTTCATTGGAGGGCAGACAATTGGAGGTCGTGTTATGCATGCTGCTCCCACAATCTGCCATTTTGCATTGGTTCCAACTGCAGCTGCATTACTGTGTGATCCTGCAAAACCAAAATATACACTGTGTAGCCTGTGCTTGTTTTGCACTCATTATAGTACAGCATTATATACATGTATAGTAATTGCAAATAATAATTATTATTATTACAATCAAACCTAAGTGCTAAACCCACAAGGAACTGCATATAATAAGGCTTCAATTGCTCATGTCTGATGAATACATTATGTAGTTAGGCAAGAAATGAAATAGCATAAAAATATCAACAGAATGGAAACAAATGCACTGCATTATCTTGCAATTTTCCCTCCTAGGTTAAGTAAGCACTGTCTTGCTTTAACTGCAGTGTTGAAAGACTTAATTTTCAGTATTAGTGTTATTGTTTTTAAGGGAGGAACGCTAAACCCCTTGGGGTCATACAGCTCCTGGGAGAAAGGAAGACATTCAGCCTCAGTTACAGGAATTGGAGTTCTGATCCAATTTCATAAATCATGAGCCCCTCACCAGCATCATGGAACGTCCCTCGATAGATTAATTTTTTATTTATAATTATTATTATTACAATCAAGGGGGAAGCGCTAAACCCGGAGGATTATACAGCGCCTGGGGGGGGGATGTGGAAGGCATTCAGGCTTAATTTGGGGAACTGGAGCACAGATCTTTTTATTTATAAGTTTTGCCTGGTGGTTCCAGAGGCAACACTCAAGAGCCTCTGTGCAACCTCGCAACAATAATAATAAAATTTCTACAAGTACATGATACAATTTATACAGACCATAGCTGACCTCAGTGACACGCTATATAGAAAGCTTCTTGTTATGCTGAGCATTTCGAGCAAATTAGATTTTGTCTCCAGGATGCGACCCACACCAGTCGGCTAACACTCAGGTACCTACTTACTACTAAGTGAACATAAAACCACTACTGACAATAAATGATAACTACAAAGGCAGATATCTATAAATTAAGCTCACTTGTCAATAAAATGTATGAAGCATGTTTAAAATATCGTGTGAAACGTTGCGTTGTCTGCACTAGTGGCCCAGACGCCATATTTATTAGGTTGTAGGCCACCACAAGGGGGGCCGTTGGGGCCCGTCCTGGGGCCGCCTGGGGCCTCCTGGTCTCCAGGGACCTAATTTTGATAAACCTCAACGGAAAATAAAAATATAAGTGGTGCGTACATGAAAAGTGATAAAGTTTTTTTCAGATACGATACGTAAATTATCATAACGTAAAATATATTTCTGGTATAAAATTTAAAATTTATTTGGGTCAGGTACACATAAGTCAATTATTTGCAGTGAAAATTTTTTGGGAAGCCAAAAAAAAAAGTCAAAATTACTTTTTTCCCATAAGGGTCCTTGTGTTGCAGGTGTCTTTTATATTTGATTCGGGGGTGATGTTTAGGCATTTCGGGCAACCTTTAAAGTAAACTTATAATACTTATTTGAAGATTAAGGATTTCCCTTTTTCGGAAATAAAGAATAAAAATACATTTTCGGGGCCTGGTGTCAAAGCTCTCGCTTCACACGGAGGGGTTCGGTTTTCGATTCTCGGCGGAGTGATAACACGGGACGTGTTTCCTTCACCTGTGTCTATGTTCACCCACCAGTAAAAATGAGTCCCTGGGTATTATATTATATTATTATTAAATCAAAAAAGCGCAAAACAAAAGGGTTGGGTATAGTAGACTGGTGTGGGTCGCACCCGGGGAAAAAATTGACCTAATTTCCCGAAATGCTCTACTCTACAAAAACCCAACCCCCTCAAGGTTCCTTGATGCGGGAGGGGCTCTTGATCTGGGGAATTTGGGTCGTGCTTCAGTCCTTGAACTGATCTAAATCCCTTCTATCCCTCCCCACGGACTGTTTAGCCTATGGGTTTAACGGCCCCCCAGGGATTATTAAAATCTGCAAAAACAAGGGGCTTTTCAAAGTAGTATAGTGTTGTCATCGATGTCGGGAGGCCTGTGTGAAAAATACTGTATATATTTTCCGGAAATACGGTAATTTATAGGTAAATATATGGCCTATATTGTATTTAAAAAAAATTTTATGGAAAATGGGAAACTGAGCCTGCGCCTGCGCAGAAGATCGCCATTTTGGTTTTGAAATGAGCAAAGTAAACGTTAGTGTAATGTGAAGAATTTTCGTGCTCTAGAGGAAAAATTGGGGTTGACACCTCTAAATAGGAACAAAATTGTTGGATGTGCATTCCGTAATTGGATATAGAGATGGACAAGACACTCCAGGAATCTCGATAAGCTCTCTGATTTGTAAATAATTCGGCCATTGTTTTCATAAATTTGTTAGGAGGTTTTTTGAGTATGATACAACAAAAACCAGTCAAATTGGTGAGTAAATTTTAAGATATATTTTCCTTTTTTATGTAATTGTGTATTATAACCTTTATTTTTTTTAATATACAGTCCACAAATTTAAAAATTTCCCGTATTCCCGGTGTAGTATTTTCATTAATTAAAGGTCCAGACAACTTGTGGTTAGAAGTAGTAGTATCAAAGGGGGGACATTTTTGGCCTGGGTGTCCCAAATTCCTACTTGTTTTTAAACTCTGAAAATAAAAATTATTTTTTATCATTTTCTGTTATTATATAATGAGTTACATTCAGATAAATGCAATTTTCCACATTTAAAATTTGCCCGTTGGCCCTTCTTGAAGGGGGGGGGTAATTAGTAAAGTCATTAAATTAGTTAATTACTTAAAAATTTTTTATGTGAAATGCAGAAGGAGGTGGATTTTAAAAGTTCCAGATTTATTAATGTGTAGTGGATTAAAAAATTTCAATATTAATTTTGAAAGCAAGCTAAAGCCCTGGCCTAAGTTTAATTAAATTTTGTATAATCTAATTTGATAAGAAAATTTCGGGCCCAAGATTTATTCAGTGTATGTGTAATTGTAAGACAAGGTGGATAAAGATTATATTGTGTATAATATTAATTTTGTATCCCCAAATTCGGCAAGGATTTATTTTGTATAAAATTAATTTGATAACCCAATTTTTGGCCAAGTTTAATCGTGTATGTAAAATTAAACCCAGGGTTTTAGCTAATTTTTTTAATGTGTATATTAATTTTGCTATGCCAAATTCTGGAAAGAATTTATTAATTTGTATAATATTAATTTGAGGACCCAAAGTTTGATTAATGTACTTTTAAAAATTTTATTATACATGAAATTTGCTAAGCTCAAGTAGCTAAAATTTTTTTAAAAGGGTAATTTGTACTATTTACCTTTAAAGTGATAATTTAGTACATAATCAGTGTTATTAAGTTGAATTTAATAATTGCATAGGCAAAAAATGAGGAAATTAATGTAAAGAAAACAATGGAAAAAGGCAAAAAAAGCTCTCGCAAGCTAGAAAAGGGGGGTGTAACAAAAACACAAATAATGTTTGGAATTAATGAATCAAGAAACTGTGAATACTGATGATTTAAAAAAGATTTAGATGCTTTAGGTAATAGAATTGATTCATACAAATTATATTACAACAAAAATAAGGAGATTTATTAGAAAAAGTGTAGATGAGACTGAAGTGATTCATAATTAACATATTATGAAATTTGAGAAAAGTTCTTTCTTGTAAAAGTCAGGCCCTTTAATAAATTTAAAAAGTGTAAACTAGGCAGTTAAACAGTCGCCCCCCAAAATTTAAAATGTCTTTGCCAAAATCCCCCGAACTATGTTTACCTGTATTTAAACCCGGTGAAAAATTGGGGGGGAATTTTGGTCATTTTTAAAGCAGTTGTGCGTGACGGGGTGACCAGCCTGTGTAACTAATTATTTTTCCTCAAAGGAAGGTAAAAGGGGGATGGTACATACTCATACAAGCCTTTCCCCCAAGTAGATGACTCTTACAAGGAAGCAGTTGATTTTTTGAAAGTACTTATGGTAATATGAACAAAATAGGTTTGGGTCTAGTGAATATCATTTTAATTTAAAACTCCAGATCACCTTTCAAAGGTTTTTCAGCAGTTTAAGGTTACCCGGAGTATGTATAAACTGGGAGCCCCCAAAAATTTAAGTAATAAATAAATTGAAGGGAAACAGATGGGTTTTTGGGGCCATGGTACAGATAAAATTAAGGTGAAAAAATTGAATGCTCTAAACAAATATCACAAGGTTTTTTTTGGTTGGGGAAATAAGATAGGTCTACAGGAAATTAATTGTGCAGTTGCAGACCAGCCAACCAATCATTTTTAAAGAGAAAACCCTAATCTCGAGGTACTGTCAGTTTTACAAAGGGAGAAATTATCCCAAAAGTAATAATCAAAATTCATTTCCTAAAAAGAATTTCAAGGTCTATCAAGTAGCAAGAATCAGAATAAAGATTTCCACAAGGTAAGAAGAATAAATACCCTCCAAGAGTAGCCCGTTAATAAGAAACCTTCAGAGAAAAGAGAGTTGTCTTTTCTGCAAGGGTATTTTATCTAAGAAATTGCAAGCATACAAATTTATGGAATGATAAAGTTGAAGTTGGGGGAACTTGACGATGTATCAGAGTTTAGGTAATACAATGTAAAGGATTTTTAGCCCCAAAATTTAAAATTATGTTATCAAAGTCCAAAGGAAGACACCCAAACAGGAAACAAAAAGGATAAAAATTTAAAGAACAACCTACACAAAGGGCTAATGTTTTGGGGCCCGGTTTTTGTTTTTCCCGGGGTACCTTACCGGCGGGTAAAAATTTTTGTGTTTAAAAAAAGTCTCTTTTTAAATCCCCCGCCAAAAAGTTTCAATTTAATTTTTTTAAAATTTTTTTTGCAACCCCGGGTCTCTTGGGTTTTTACGGGGTCCCCCCCCCTTTTTTTTCCCCCGGGGGCCTTTTAAAACCCGGTTTTTAACTTCGGTTAATGGAAAAAATTTTTGCATAATTTAAAAACTTCCCCCAAAAAAAAATTTACCGTAGGGCAGTAAAGTACAAAAGACTTTCAATAATTAAAATTTAAAAAACCTCTGGGTAAGTGATGATTTGTAGGAATAAATATTTTGATATTATATTATGTTTTCCCGTAAAAGAAAATTGTGGTGCATTTTGAAACTGCAGGGGGCCTGTAATGTTTTGGGTTTTTTGAATTCCCCCCCGAAAAAATTCAATGACTAAGGAAAACATAAATAATAAATTTTACCCCCTTTTGGGGGCGGGGTAGTTTTGTTGGCCCCCCTTTTAGGGTTGTATGATTTTTCTCCCCCGTAGATTTTCAAAACCCCTTTTAAACTGGAGGTTTGTAAGTATTTTAGGTTCCCTCCTTAAAAAAATTATACTGAGAAATACTCCATAATTTTGACTCATTTGTGTTTCCTTTTAAATTGTGGCCCTTGGTTCTTGCCCCCCTCCCCTGGGCACCTGTCCCTTTACCCTTTTTTTCCACCATATTTTTTAGCTTTCATGCTCCCCTGGACCCTCCCTTTCCCCCAATGTCTCACCCATTTCCCTTTCTTTCTTCTGGACATTTCCCCCTTGCCTGGCTAACCTTCGCAAAATTTTATTTCTTCGTTTCCCCGCTCTTTTCAGTGCGGGTTCCAAACATTTTTCATACCCTTGGGGCCCGACTAACCTTTTAATGTCCCTTTGTTTCCCTTACTAAGGGGCGGAAATGCTGTTCTCAGGGTTTGCCAGGCCCCTTATGTTTTTAGCCTTTTAATGTTGATGTTTGTTCCGGGAATGCTCGGGGTTTCTCACCCCAAATTTTCTCCTTTAGTGAGGTTTGCAGTCTTTGGCCACCAGCCTATACTTGTGGCTTCTGTCCCCTTCCCCCCATTTCATGATTTGATTTGGCAGGACTAAATTCGAGAAGCCTTTTTCTGGACCGGTGTCCATCTGTCCCGGTCTTTTGAAGTCCTGCTGGTCCTCATCAGATTTAATCTCCTCATTAACTTACTTTCATCTGCAAACAGGGACACTTCTGAGTCTAACCTTCCGTCATGTCGTTCACATATACCAAAAAATAGCACTGGTCCTAGGACCGACCCCTGTGGGACCCCGCTCGTCACAGGTGCCACTGTGATACATCATTACGTACCATGACTCGTTGTTGCCTC